CCACTGGGGAGTCAGAACTCCTCCGGTGCTTGGCTTTAATCTTCCTCTGGCTTGGGGCTTCCATTTTCCCTTTGCTTGGGGGAGCCATCTGATTCTCTCATCCCTTCTTGCAAGCCAGATGTGGCCACTGGGCTTATCATCTTCCTTTCCCTGCAGGCAGGTGGGGCTGAGGAAGCTGCAGTTCTGTGGGCTTGGAGAACTGAGGCTTTGCAGGCTAAGATACTGCAATCTTACTAAATCCGGTACCCTCCAAGTGTACGGACAATTGCTTCTGTCATCCCCATAGTCTCCAACTGTCCCTATTTGGCAGGGACAGTCTTGGTTAATCCTTTGCCAGTGCACTTTTTCAGTGCTTTTGAAATGTCTTGCTCTCTGTCTCTTTTCTCCCACTTCCCGCTTTGTCCTCAGCTCACTTAGCTTGCTGCAAAATGAGTTCAAAGTACAAAAGTACTTTGCACTCAGTTAATTTAGTAGGGAGGAATCTTCATAATTCAGGACTTAACTGTGTGTGAAAAATGTGTGTGTGGGGGGGGGAGTCCCAGAAAATGGCATTTTCTGTGCAGAGAACATCATTTTCCATGCAGAAAACGAACATTTCACAAAATGGGTTTTGTGAAAGCAAATAGCATTTCCTGTGCAGAAAATAAAAATTTCTATGCAGAAAATAAAAGCTTTGGGCCGGTGTGAGTTGCTGTGAGATCAGAATGAGTTGTCCAGCATTGATAACATGGCTGGGCACCTTGTTTTGAGCTCATGTGATTTGCACCCAGAGCACTGGGCTGACCAGCTTGCAGGGTCTGCATTGGAAGGCAGCTGCCCATTGAAAACCATTGAAAACCTGCAGCAGGCAAGAGGGGATTCAGGGCCAGAATATTCTGTGGGCTCCCCTGAGCTTTCTGGCAAATGTAGATGAACACTTAGGCATCGGTAACCAACATGCCTTTCTCTCTTAGCTGGCGTATCTTGCTCTGCCATCATGGCTGTGGAGGTTATGGCCGCCCTTCTGCTGCACAAACACCAAGAGGTAAGAATGCGAAGGTGTGGGAAGTAGAGGTGGAAGGGATATTTTTAAAAATGATCGAAACTGGGTTTCTGGAGTATCAGGAAACCCTGACATTGAGAATCTTCGCCGTTCAGGACGTGCAGAGAGTGGGAGCTCCCAGAAAATGGCATTTTTTTTATGCAGAAAACAAGTTCTCTAGTCACTAGTCCCAGCTTCTGCCAACTTGGCAGTTCAAAAGCATGCAAAATGCAAGAAGATACATAAGTACCACTTTGGTGGGATGATAAACAGCATTCTGGGCAATCCTGCTGGCCCCATTGTGCAACACTCAGGACTCGAACGGCCAACCTGCCGATCTTGCAGTCAACAGAGTCAGTGTTTTAACCACTTGAGCCAGTGCATATTGCACTGGATATATGTGCAATAAATAAATAAATAAGATGCACAACAATAGGATGGCATTGTCTCTCCCTGCACATTGCTGATTCCAGGCAATTGAGGATTTTTATTTCTTTTTTTGTACACTAATTGCCCACTTTGTATTTTCTTGTCTTTTCTCCACCTCTCTGCCCAGGGAGTCCTTCTTTCCCGACTGATGCAGGACTTTGCCTGGCTCACTGAGGAGATCTTGCTGCATTACTACGATGTGGGTTTCTCAGGGCAGGTGCGAGATGTAGTGATGCATGCCCTCATGTTGCTGCGGCGCTGCATCACCCTCCAACGCCTCTCAGTGGGGGATGTGCTGGTGACCCCCAAGAAGACAGAGGCATCAGTGACAGAGCTGAGCCAGCACAGTGCCGCCCTCCTTCCCGTTTTCATCCAAGAAGCTCTGGCGGGTGAGTTCCAAGGTTCACAAACTTTGGTCAAGAGGTCTTGTTTGCTGTTGGTCAAGGGGTGAGAGAGGCATCGGCTTGATGTCTGCAGAGCAAGCTAAGTAACTGTGGCTTGTGGATTCAACCATCTGCAATATCTGTACCAGAATTCAGATGTACTCTCACTTTTCTACAAGGCTGGGCTGAAGCCACATTGCACATTGCATTTTGATAAATCTTGTAACTGCTATGGTTCTATCTTATGAAATCCTAGCATCTGTGAAGAGCCAATGTAGTGTAGTGATTTGAGTGTTGGACTACAACTCTGGAGACTAGGGTTTGAGTCCCAGCTCGGCCATGAAACCCACTGGGTGGCCTTTGGCAAGTCACACTTTCTCAGCCTCAGGAAGGCAATAGCAAACCTCCTCTGAACAAACCTTGTCAAGAAAACCATGTGATAGGGTCGCCATAAGTCAGAAATGACTTGAAGGCACACAACAACGAACTTGAATTCTCTGCCAATGCATTCTGATCTTATAGTTCAGGGAGTGGGCTAGCAGAAAATTCTAAGTTTTTCACGGAACTACAAATCCTTAGAATGGAGCCATGTCAGTTATAGTGGGATCATGCTGTTATAACTGCTATAATAACCAACCAACCGAGTCAGGAAATAAGTAAGTAAGATTATATATGTGTGTCGTAAAACCCAGGAAGTAAAATTTAAACTCCATTAGCAACACAAAAAGAAACTGCCTTTGAGATCCAAGTTACTGCTGTCCTGTGGGAGGCTTCCCACCCCCTTCTTGGGCAGAGAACAATGAATTTCTGAAGCAGTCTCTGTGTTGCTGCATTTGGAAAACTTTATCCTGTGTGCTTTTTACCACCTTTGCCTGATGAAGAAGCCAGTGGAACTCCAGAAGCTTGCGCCATGTATTCTGTCTTTTTTGATATCACTGCTTTGTGGATTTTGGATGTTGTTGTTCTGAAGCACAAAGTATCTGTTCATCTGGTAAGCCTCTTGCCCTGACTGCAGGATTGGTCTATTGTTGCCCCTTTGCAGCCTGCGCCATCAATGCCCTCCTGATGGAGCTTCTGCCTTACCTTGGAAGCCCCGAGCAGCTCAGGGACGTGGTTTTGGTCCAGGAGGAACTGCATAGCAAGACCTTCTTGCTGGCCCAGCTGTTGCAAAGAGATTTCCTCCTGTGCCAGGTAAGGCACCCACCTTTGCTTACCTTTGAGACTCTTCGCCCTGGGATTTTGAAAGCGTACCCCCAGAAGACCAGAAGTATGGCACCAGAAGACTAGGAAAGCAGGATGTCCAGTCTTAGGGTTTATCTACATTTGCTAGAATACTCCAGACTCACCCCAGGGTATTCTGGCCCCAAATTCCACCCAAATCCTCCCTTTACCTGTTGTAATATGTGGAAAGGCAGCTGCCCATCATTGCTGTGTTTTGCTCTGAGTTAATCTCATCTTTTTTCAACGGCCTGTTGGTGCCACTCCTAGTGCTGCTGGTTTTTATCAATTTGCCAACTATATCAGCAATGCCTCCCTGTTTCCTAAATTTTTAGAGAGAATTTGAATAATCAGCGGCCAAAAATCAAGTCAGCCTGGTAGATTTTGAAATTGAGGAGAAAGAGTAATAAGAATAATAATAAATTTTATTTCTTCTTGCCTCTCCTCAAGGCTCAAAGCAGGGTACAGAATGTTAAAATAGGAAACACAATTAAAAACACATAAACCCGCAGTTAAAATACAATGCTATAAAACGAGTGTATTTTGATGGTTTAATGATATATTTTAAATGTGGTTAGGATGAAGTTATCAGTAGGGAAGAGAATGTTATATCTGTTTTTTTTTTTATGATTTAGATGCAAATTTATTCTTTTTGTGTGTTTGTTAGCTTGCTTATTTTGAATAAAGATATTTAAAAAATACATTCAAAAGAGCACATATACAATTAAAAAGACATGATTGAAAATTGACTAGGTAGGCCTGCTGGAAGTAGTAGTTAGTGGTAGTGGCAAAAATGCAGGGTGCAGATTAGGGAGATGGCATGATCCTTGGCACATTTTAGAAGAGCCATCTGGTACATCTGAATACCAGAATGCCTGCCAGGACAGATGAGGGTCATGGCCCAGCTGTGCCTCTTGGTGTAGATGGCAAAGCCCTTTCCTACTTGTGAGGAGGACTGATTTCTTTGCTTTCTCCCAGCCTTGTGAGCCTATGTATTCCTACTGCCAGGCTGCTGTAGACAAGCTGATCCTGTGTGGATTGCTGGTAGCCGAGGAGGTAAGCTTTTCCTTGGGAAGTGTGGGGTGGGTTGAGGAGTGAAGAAATCGGCAATCAAAACACAGTCCCATTTGAACATTACAGGAACTCCGCTTTGTGGCATGAACCACTTTTGGTGTATCTGGACCCGAGTATCCCAAACTTCTGATAGCAGAGATCCACCTTGTCTTCCCTTCTCATTAAAATTAGCTGTACCTTTTATTCATCTATAAAAAAGGGATTATTTCTAGAGCGTGTATCAGTCCTTTCCTTGCGTAGGAGCTCACCCTCTTTTTTGCACACTCTGCTCTTTGAACCTGCCTCCTTTTTAGAGAGAAGTAAGCCCAGACCAGTCACTTGTACAGAGTTGCAGCAGGCAGGCTCTCTTGAGGATGGGTAATTTTGCATTGGTACGGGTTCAATGGTCCAGGTTTGCCCCCAAAGTTACAGAACTGCCCCAAGATTCCTCCAGCAAAGACTAAATGACTGCATGCCATCCACAATGAGATATCCTGCAGATAAAAAAACCTATTTGTTTTTGTTCCTTCAAGATAACTGCAACTGATGGTGATCCTGTCATAGGGTTTTCATGGCAACATTTGGAGAAGGTTTGCTGTTGCCTTTGAGGCTGAGAGAGTGTAGGACAATTGCAAGGCCACTCACTGGATTTCTGTGGCCAAGTGAGGCTTTGAACCCTGATCTCCCAGAATCCTAGTCCATCACTGAAACCACTATCCCAGAAAAGAGCTATGTTGTTGTTGTTGTATGCCTTCAAACTGTATCTGACCTATGGCAACCCTAAGGCAAAGCAATCATGGGGTTTTCTTGACAAGATTTGTTCAGAGGAGATTTGCCCTTGCCTTCTCCTGAGGCTAAGAGTCTGTGACTTGCCCAAGGTTACCCAGTGGGTTTTATGGCTGAACTGGGAGTTGAACTCTGGTCTCTGGAGTTATAGTCCAACGCTCAAACCACTATGTCACACTGGTTCTCATGGAAAGGAGCTATAAGGTACCTGATTTTGTACCCAAAACTTGGGGCTCCCAGCCTCTGTCTTTCAGTACACAATTGTATTCCAGCCCAGTGCCTGGGAATTGCTAGTTTGGGTTTTGTGGCTGTGTGGGTTGTGGAGTAATTAGATCTGATTCTCTGGCTGGACAACTCTTTCCTCCTGCATTCAGGTGCCCAGCGACCTCTTGGTGTGTGACATGGCTCGCAAGCGCTTCAAGGCAACGGATGACTTTGGCGACAGTGACAGCGACTTCGGGGATGACTGTGGGAAGCAGTGTTTCAAAGTACGGAGGGGTCCTCAGCATAGAACTAGAGCACCTTGAGCCCATTTTAACTGTCCTGGCTCCATCCTGTGGGATCCGGGGAATCCTAGTTTGGGTGAGGGATGGGGAAATTTCTGCTTAAAGTGCTCCAGCCCTAAAGCTCACCAGCAGAGTGTTTTCAAATTGGCCCTCCATATCCATGGATTCTGCAACCAGGGATTCAACCAGCCACAGCTTGAAAATATTCCAAAAAGCAAATGCGTTGAAAATATTCTTTAAAAAATGCAAATTCCAAAAAGCAAACCTTGATTTTGCTATTTTATATAAGGGCCATCATTTCACTATGCCATTATATTTAATGGGACTTGAACATTCATGGATTTTGGTATTTATGATTATGGAGTCATAAATGGCTCAGAGTGGCTTAGACGGTTCCCTGCCCTCAGGCTTACAATCTAAAAAGACAAGACACAAAAGGAGAAGGGAATGGTGTTGGGGAAGGGGAATAAGTCCATCAGATCTTCTCTCCCTCTCAAGCCTAGACCAAGGCAGATGGACTGGTACCTATGGGGAATTTGGGAACCAAACTTCAGTGGATACCTAGGGCCCACTTTACCCATATAGGCTATAATCCTCCTTCATATTTAATAATGCAAGAGAAAAAGAGGGACTAAATGGCACTGTTGTGTGTTTAGTTGAGATTCCAGGTGATTTTTGGATCCAATAAGATGGACTGTTAAAGCCCCTCAGGGGAACACATTTTTACAAAATAAATAGCCCCCAACTGTGCCCAGTTGCCTCTAGATGTGGGGACATTTTCACCACATTTTGATAGTCATTTTATGCCCCTGAGAGGCAAGAAGTGTGTACGAAGTAACCCAGGGCCATGTCTTGGAGTAAAAAAATACTTTCTCCTGGGTTTAAATGGTCAAAGGGGGGGGGTTAGAAATATGATGGAAATGCCCCCTTTGGAGGGCATTTAGGGCCATTTGGGGCAAAATAATTTTTGGATTTTTTTTTTCTTCCAGGGGTATGTGAGCTTCAAAAGGTTTCCATCAGGGCTAATGCAGCCCCCTGTCTTCCCATAGTTGCCTCCAACTTGTGTTACAGCATCCATCTGGGAAGCTGGGAGTCTCACTGGGAAGCTCATGGCATCCTTTCCCTCTTGGACACATCATGGTTCTTTGCAACTGAGGTCTCTGTGGGGTACCAAAAACCCCAGGTTCCTGAGCTGTCACACTTCTTCCCTGCAGCTCTGCAGATCCCACTCTCTTTCTTGGTCTGGCTTCATGTGGGAAGGAAGCCACAGCATCAGGGGAGGCTGCCTTCCTTCCTCATCCCCATTGTAAAAAAGGAACATCAAATTACCATATACATTCCTGCTTCCTTTGTTTCTCGGTGCTCACATGACACCTCCCGAGTTCACAACCTGTCTCTTCAAATGCCAGCTGTGTGGGCTGCAGCTCCAAAAATGTCTTCTGCGTTCTTTGGAGAGAGGAGCAAAGTTCTTCTCTGCAATTATGGGGCTGAGGCTCAAGTCAAGATGGGGTCCTTTGCTCTTAACTCCCTCCTTGCAGACCTCATTTAGCCTGACTCTTCTTCCCTTTTCCTTCGCCATCCCATCCAGTAGTGCTCAGACTTCTGGAAAGAGAGTGCCCTCTCATGGATGCAAGGAAGCTGTTGCTTCTCAATGTGCATGCAAAGTTTCCCTGATATTTCCATCTTGTGGGATACACAATAGACATGCACAAGATGTGGCCACAAATTGCTGCTTTTCCTTTTCTCCTTCCTCCTCTTCTCCCCTTCCTCTTTTCATCAGTTGGCCATGTTCCAGATTGGAAATGGCTGCTATTCTGGCCTCTCCAAGACTTTATTTGGTAGTGAAAAATGACCCACATCACTGCTATACAATAAGCTTTATCTATGGTAAATGATGGAGCAGTCCATAGCAGAGGAAGCCTCATCATCATCATCATCATCTTGCCTTTCTCCCAAAACAGGTTGAGTCTCCCATATCTGAAATGCTTGGGACCAGAAATGTGTTAGATTTCAAACTTGAGAATTTGATATGCTCTCTGTATCCACAGATTCAGTCATCCGTCACTTGAAAATATTTTTTAAAAAAAACAAATTCTAGAAAGCAAACCTTGATTATTATTATTAACAATAACAACAACAACAACAACAACAACAACAACAACAACAATAATAATATAAACCTTGATTTTGCCATTTTATGTAAGGGACACCATTTTACTTCGCCATTATATTTAACGGGACTTGAGCATCCACATATTTTGATATCCAGATACCAAGGCCCACTGAGCTATCTTGGAGATGAGGCCCATGTCTAAACACAACAAACATTTATTTTTTGTATACATCATATACATGTTCCCTGAAGGTAATTTTATACAGAGTAGTTTTAATGATGTTGTGCATGAAACAAAGTTTACGTATGCTGAATCATCAGAAAGCAAAGGTGTCCATCCCAACTCAACCACCCATGAAGAAAGTGTTGGTTTTTAGAGTATTTTGGATTTCAGAATTCCAGATAATGAGCCTACAGCATATTTTAAAACAATACACATTAAAAACTATGCAAACATGTTAGCTCAGCTGAAGTCAAGGTGTGGCCCATGGGCTGCACCAATTTGCAGTCCCTGAACCCCTTCCCTGGCATCCCCCAAAAGCCCCTCCATTTATTATGATGATTATTATTTATACCAGTGTTGATGCTTTTGCAATCCAAGAATACCTGAAGGGCTACTGGATTTTCAGTGTTTTCTTTGTAGTACCTATGCAGTGGCTGTTTGGAGGTCCCACGGTCCTTGACTTTTCTTCTTTTCTGCATCAGGTGAACCAGCAGGAAAGTAGCTGCACCTTCTTTGTATTCATCTGCTGTCTTCTAAGTCCTTTCCTGAAGACCTTGGAAAGAGCTGCTGCCTTCCTGCAAGAGACGAAGGGTCCTCAGCCAGGTAGGACCCAGCAGAGTATCCCTTGATTTATGTGGCTCTTTGCACCGATGAATATCTCTTAGAAACCCTTGGAGGCTTGCGTTCTTTACAAACAATGTGTGAAAATAATGGCCAAAATCCTCTTGATGGATTATGCTGATGTAATTGGGGGTGACACTTGGGTAAGTACATTTCCTATCACTTTGCGAGGAAGTATCTGGTATAGGTTGAACCTCCCATATCTAAAATTTGAAAAAATTCTCCAAAACTCAAAATTGTCCACATGGGTGGCTGAGAGAGTGACATGGTTTTTGCTTTCCAACAGTTCAATATATACAAACTTCTCATCAGGGTCTCTCGACACTCAGAAAACATGTGGTTGTTTTGAACCATTTTTCAAATATTTTCTAATATTCTTTCCATCCCTAGTTTGACCTAGGAAAATCCACTTAGCCATGGAAACCCATTGGGTTGCATTGGCAAGTCACTTTTTCAGCCTCAGAGGAAGGCAATGGCAAACCGCCTTGGAATAAATCTTGCCAAGAAAGATTTTGCCATACGCCAGAGTTGACTTGAAAGCGCATCATAAGAAACAGCTTCCTGATCCAGGATCTGCTGTTACCCAGGAGCCCTGTCCTACATTGTAGACCTGTGCAGACTGATGTGTTGGTTCTTCTGCTTCAATAACTACCTCTTCACTCATGCTGTTCTGATCACATATTGTCATCTATCCCCCTTACAGAGTCCCTGTACCTGGAAAACCTGCATCAGTTCTTGGTGAGGAAGGCAAGAGAAGACTGTTCCTTTGGTGAGTCTACAGTTGGTCAAGGAAGGATCAAATGGTAGCCATGTTCTCCTTGCAGAGCTGGTCATGCATTGGGCAAGACTGAGCTTGGGTTTGGGAAGCCCCTGATTGAAATCTCACCTCTGTTGTTGTATTGTGGCAGATGAAAGATGCCACCATTATGACAATTCGACACTTGCTGGGGAGGACATGGCTCAGTAGGTACAATGCTTTTGGTCAATAGTAGCGAGTGAAATTAATACTATTACAAATTGAAATGTATTCCTTAATCCTGATTTGGCCCTTTGTGGCTGGATTTAACAAGACTGTAACAAGTCTTGGGGCCTAAAATACACGGAAGGCACCAGATCCCATTTGATCTTGGAAGGTAAGCAGGGTCAGCCAGGGCTAGTACTTGGATGAGAAACCATCAAAGGAACTAGCAAAACCACCTCTGTGGATTCCTTTAAGAAAACCATATAAACTTCATGGGTTCACAATAAGTTGGCAGGCAACTTGAAGACACACACATTTGCACAATGCAAACAGTACCAAATATTTTTTGTTGGTTGCACCTAGGCAGGAAATTGCCATTAGTACTGAACCTAGATAACTGGCATAGGGGATGTTGCGTTCTTGTTCCTGTTTTATTCATTTATATCTCACTGTTCTCTCAATAATTGGTCTCAAAGTGGCTACGGACATAAAGATTGAAACTACAAAAACTTCAATAGAATTCTAGATATAAAAATATTTTTTAAAAAAAACAATGAAACTATAAGTTAAACATTAAAAACATTAAAATGCACTGAAAGACTGTGTGCAAAATTTAAAACAGCGCTGCACAACATTAAAAGCCAGTCTTCTCTGTAAAACTATGAACCCCAGGATTTCATGGGGTGGACCTACAGTACTTAAAAGTGGTGCCAAGTTGCATAATTTCTCCAGTGTCAATGCACACTAAGTCATCTGGT